GGCTGAAGAGCTGCAGCTGCATTTCAGCTTCTCTGCAGCAGATTTTAGGCTCGAGCCCATTGTGATGTTTGTTCTTTCAACAGCATACCTGAAGAGAGAGACGGTGTGTGTGTGCATGTGTTTGGCTGGGGGAAGGGGGAGGGGTCTAAGACATTGATGAGCTGCACTCCTCCTCCTCCTCCTCTCTCTCTCTCTGCATCACCATGGTCCTTGGCAGGTCTACGTTACCATGGCAACGCTCACATTGCCGCAGGCTGGCTGGAGCAAGGCGCGGTGGTTGAAAAAGAAAGCAAGAGAGGGAAGAGAGACAGAGAGCGAGAGCTCACTGCAGAGGGAGGGGAGGGCAGGCGAGAATTGGTTCTCCAATTCATTACCCCTGCAACCCCCCTCCCCCAAATCTTATCAGTGGCATCGGCTCAGCTGGGCTTTGGAAAGGCCTCTGCTCTGCTCAGTAGTCTGAACACGTTGGATCCAAACTTCAGACCGCATTTATTATTCATCCTCCTCCTGCTCAGAAGACAGCACCACAGCCTAATGCCCAGCCGCACACACACACACACACACACACACACACACACACACACGCTATAAAACCCAGTTACACACAGAGCCATATACTGCATCATTCTATTACCTTTGGGTGGTATTATGGTGGAGACATACACGGGTATAAGATTACTCTCCACAGATAGAGGTTACAGTGACTAACAGGAAGTGAGGATCCCTCGTTGCTGCAGCTCAGATCTCACCCCTGTGACCTTCCACTGGAGCCTCTGTACTTACTAATGAAAAAGTACAATGATGACCCAGGTTTTGGTCAAATACTGTGCCTGACTGTGAAGATGAGGCTGTTCCACAGTTTGTTCCCTCAAAAGAAAAAGCTTGTTTCTTAATTCTTATCTATACTGATCAACATTCTCAGTTTTGGAAGTTTTTCCCTGAAATGTTTCCCCTGATAATTTTTTTCTGATAGTTTCCAACTAAAAAATGTCACTGATAACTCCAGTTTACAGTGGACATTCCTCTGGTCAATGACAGCTCTGAATTTTCATCAGGTAATAGTAATGCAAGAGTAAATAGGGAATAAACGGGGAAAAACACAGAGCTTCACTCATTAGATAGTATTAGTGATTGTTTTAATTAAAAAATAAAGAGTGATTGCCAGTTTTTAAATAAAAACAGTAAATACTGAGCCTACCTCTTCGGTCTTCTCTATTAAACCTTGGCTGGTTGACCTTTGTTGAGAGATTGCATGTCTGGGGTGATTGAACCGGTCAGGAGCTGACACCACCATGATCCTCACATCTAGAGCCTCCAGTATTTTATTTCTCTATTATACTGTCTCATCTAACAAAAATAAGCATAAAGATGCCATTACCAGGTCAAAGTTCAGACTGGTTGAACTCTGGATGAGGCAAACAAGGTCTGATCAGGAAGGGAAAATATCACTTTGGACAATGTACAGTATATGTGCACATCAATTTTAAAGACAGGGCACAATTTGTTTCATGGCTTGTATTTGTATCCACAGTGAAGTCTACTCCCTGTTTATGATGGAGGGCTTACCTGTTTGCCAACACCTACCATTTAAAGACCGAGCACCCTCCACACCTGCAGGTGTGACTTCATGTGAAGTGACCCTGCAGTGAAATGCTGGAGGAGGGCAGCCGTGCTTGGGAAAGAGCCTTTATCAGACTGGTCAGTGGGGGCACAGGGACTAAAACTGGGGTAACAACTTCCTTTTATACTTCCATTTGCGCAAGAAAATGAATGGACATGTTGCTTTTCATTTTCACATATAAAAAGGTGAACACATTCACACCTGCATTCCTCTGGAGAACGTAGGTTAAAGGTTAAGTGCCTTGCTCAGTGGCACTTTGCGAAAAGTTGTAAAAGAAGCAGAGATCATTACTCATTCTCTCCCACTCACAATTTTCAACAGCAGGTGTGTTAATCTGAACCTACTGGTCAGCAACTTGCCTCTCCAAAAAGAATCCAATTAATTTCCTGTTCCTTGGAAACAAAAGTGGAGGACGACAGCCAGAGCTGTGTGCAGCAACGAGAGACGAACACACAGAGAAGGGCAGTCACAGCTGAGAGCAGATAAAGCAAGGGAGATCTGAATTCTGACATCCTGCATATCTCAGATGAGAAAGGAAAGAAGAAGATTCAGATTTTGGCCGATAGTGAGCTCTAAACATGAAGATAATGAGATGAGATTCTGACACATCCTCTTGACCACACACTGCTACACACAGACACACATGCAGTCGGACTACTAGTGCAACCATTACAAAGGATTTAGAAAATGGCAGGAACTGGACAACCATATGCATAAATATAATTCTGCTATGGCCAAAACAGCTCATGCTTTATTCAGCTCATGCAGTATTGTACAAGAGCAACTGCCTAACATGCAAACAGAGGCAGCTACACTGAAATTGTATTTATTCTCAAAGTAGGTTTATTTTAATTAGACGTCTCATTGGGAAATACATACATACAATACAAACCAAGTTTTGCTGAGAGTTGAAGCTAAATGACCAGGTGTGCTCAGACTGAACACAAAGCAAATATTAAACACAGCATGATGCAAAAACTCAAGTGAATTCACCCTGGGCAGTAGGAATCTAGGCAAAGATGTATCTGTTGAAAATGCTTCAACTTGAGCCAAAATGATCCAAACGAATCCAAAGACTTCATGGGACCAATTCATTAAAGATACAGATAAAGAGAAATAAACAGGACTGCAGTCGCCATCTTGTATCCACAAAAAAGAAGAGTAGGAGTAAAATGAATTATATATAGAAAAAACTTACTGATGATTACAGTCGTTTTGTTCGGCCTAGTTGAGGCCAAACTGGATCATAGCTGAGCTTAAGTAATAAAGTATTTTCACCTGTATGTGTAAACTGTTTCATGATGGGCTGGGTCTGAAACTGATTTATAAATACAGTAATCATGGGTAACAGATTGGATGTGGAACAGATCTTTGCAGAAGCAAGGTGGGAACAGGTTTGCAAAACAGGATCGTGCAACATTTCAAACCTCCAAATGTGACTGCACTAAAATCTGTGGACAAAACTTCCAATTTCTGATTTTCAGGTAAATATGGGAATCACTGGTGCATGAAGGAGGAAGGTCTTAAGTAGTAACATCTTGAGTTCCAAGTGTCTCCACCTACAGTATTAAGGTGCTGTCCTCAGCTCCATGCTTTTACTGTATTTATGATTTTCTTGTTTCAAGAACTGTTAATGTTGTATTTCTACATACTACACAAAACTGGATCATTCAAAGGTGTAAAAGAATTTAAATGTGGTAGCGAGAAGAAAGTTTTATTTGATTCAGTTAGGTTTTTTTTTAAGTAGTCACCTTAGATATAATTCACAAGGAAGGAAAATAATATTCATGTTAAAAATAAAACATTTGTGCTTGAACGATGTGAGATTTAGACAACAGTAAAAAAAAAAAAAAAAATTCATTTCACTTACTTTAAGCTCAGGCAGCCACAAACGCTCACTCTTTCAGTTACACAAGCATATGCACATGCACTCAAGCCTGCAGACTCCAGCTCTGAAGCAGACGCTCACACGCACATTCAACATACCTGTGAGGATACACAGAAATCTGGCATTAGATGTGACTCACGGGAATACACTTGATCCAACATCTGACATCTGTGGCTCAGTGCTTTAATGGCTGCCTGCTAAACCAGAACACTAGACGTCATGGTGGTGAGCCAAACCTAATTTAGTAAGCAGGAAACTATTTTAAAAATTCTCTTTGGTAATGATAAGGTTTAATTTATTAAAATAGTTTTGATCATTTTGGGTCCGGCCACCCCTTTGGAAAGAGTAATGCTTGTAAGAAAATGTAAATGCACGTGAATTTGGATCAATAGAGCCTTGCAGCATGTGCAGAGGGTTACTACAGATGGTAAGAGTGTGATAGCACCAGTGGTGCCTGAGCTCATTAAGAAACAGGACCATACTCCGGTGCAGAGCAGGAAGAGGGAGCAGTGAGGGGAAGGAGGAGGGGAGGATGCAGAGCCTGGACTCAGATTTTTAACCTGAGTGTCACTGAGATCTGATGATTCAATGCTGAAACAGAAAAATTACAGATCCCTTCCTTATGCATTTGCAACAGAAGACGTACACTGCGTTAGTGAAAAGAAATGACAGCATGTACATAATAAGCTCAAAGGTTGTTCTGAAGCTGCACACTGGAAACAGGCTGGACTGTGGCGCCATCTTCCTGTCAGAGGAGGTATTTGGATTTGTTTTGTTTTTTGCTCTTGAATTAATTTTTTTGCTTGTGGTGGAGATGCAGATTTACAGACTTGGGATCCACAACAGGTTTTGATGCCAAAGATTTTGTGGACGCATGTAATATCTTTTAAGTAAGCCTTGCATGTCACCAAACTATATTCATGAAGGGTTTCTTGCATAGTTGACAGAGTTGAGAGCCATCTGAAAAGATCTAAAATATCATCTTGAAACTCTGCAATGGATCTATTTAATAGTAGGCCAAAATACAAAAGACTTCATGGATTTTAATGTGCACAGAAACACAATCTCATCCAGTTTTTGTCTTGGTTGTGTTCAGGGAGAAGCCAATGTTCCATCAGGACATAAATGTGAACCTACACCCAAGTTACTTCTTATTTGGTGTACTGTGGTATATACTACTGCTGTTTTTTCATTTACAAAATAAGTTTGCAAATAAATGTTTTAGCACAAAACAGATTTTCTAGTTTATCTCAGACAAATGTTTGCCTTCCCTGACAACACACATTCCTTGGAAAACTTCTCTCATATTACTAGAGAACCACTAAACTGGATGAACTCTGTTGTTGTTGCACAATTTAAAAGTCAGAGTTACAGGACAAGTTCAAGTTTCATTACTTCAGGATGAAATCACTGGGCTAATAAGGCATGACAGGAACACGCTGCACTACAGCACTAGCAGCGGGCTGACGGCAGGACAAAAACACCATCTTCTTTTCATTTTCATGTAATTTTCTTTAATCATTTTGGAGGTTGTTTTCTAACATGTTTTCCTGCATACACATCATTTTTCCATTACATGTGATTCAGATCCTAAAGCACAACAACAAAAACATTACAGCAAGTTACATGACACAGAATCATTATTCTGTCTTTATATCAGCCCCGGTTTTCTGAACCTGCTGCCAAACACACATACTGTGTCACTCGCTGTGCTCAAAACGATAGGAACATTGGCCTTAGAGCTTAGATGGACCCACTTTAGAATTCATGCTATTATTCTATCGGCTCAGGATAAACAGGTCTGGATTAAATTAGTAGCAAACTGGCTCCCAGACAGGTTCACAAGGTCAGAAATAAACACAGCAACAAAGTGACAACAAGCTAACCATCATCCATTTTACTTTTCTTCTTCTTTTTCATCTTCTTCTTTCCTGAGCCCTCCACTACATCATCACATGAAGTGTCTATTGGTTCACATTTCACTGTTACCTCTTCCACCTTCACCGTCACACTGGGATCCACTCCCTCTTCCACCTCATCTCGTTCCCTGTGCTCGTTTTTCTTCTTCTTCTTCTTCTTTTTCCTTTTCTCCACTGAAATGTCACCCTCCTGGAATGGAAGCTCCATCATCACCTCCTCCTGAATTTCAGTTACAGGTTCCTGTTTTACTTTCACCACCTCCAACACCTCCTGTCGCTCTGTCTTTATCCGCTTTTCTTTCTTTTTCTTCTTCTTCTTCACTTCACCATCCTCTTCTTCATGAGCTACTTCTTCTACAAATCGTTTGACCACCAGTGGGCAAATGGTTGTAGGTGAGAGCCCAAATGCGGCTCTGTCTGCTTCACTCTCTGCCAGCGTAGAGGTTTTACTGCCGAAGGGGTGGAATCGCTGTTTTAGCCCTGGCGGTATGGAGGGAGCCGGGGCAGCAGGGATGACCTGAGGCGCCTGGTTGGCACTGCTGTCTGCGTAGCTTTCACACACGTTCAACAGGCCTGAGAAAGCAGAACCAAAAACCACAGCATCCGATGACTGCTTGTTGCTAGTGAGCAGGCGGAGCTCTGAGGGACCATGGGTGGACCCCAGGACGCTGTAGATCTGCTGGCCACTCCCAGGCTCAGCTCCGCCTGCAGCAGTAGGAACCTTCAATGTGTGGAAACCTGACAGGGGCACCTTGATGTTGGTGAAACTGGATGCAGGAGGGAGAACTGAAGTTAGGTATAATTCACACAAACACAAAAACAACGAAATAGACAAAAGGGGAAATACTTTACCCACCATTCAGGGTTAAAGTTGGCAGGAGCTTTAATGAGCCATAACTCCTTTTTGGTTTCCAGACTCCCTGTTAGAGTGCTACTGCAGGGCTTATGGCAGAAAGACACAAAGTCAGCAGGACACTGGTACCTGGTGCTCTTCTTATCTGTGGATCCAAACAGCAGGTTGTAATCATTTATCACTAAAATCTGAGCACTGGAAATACACAGAACTGCCCAGAAGAAGCGCACAGAAGATGAGTGCTTACTTTTCTCTGGATTAACTTTCAGTATATTAGGTATTTTTAGTCAGATAGAAATTGGATAGATACTTTATGTATTAGAAATGTTTAGTGGAGATAGGATGTCTAGTTAGACTGTTAAATGCTTAGTCATGCTTATGAGTTTCTACAGGGTACATCTGGTCAAGGATAACTAGAGAGAAGAGTTGATGACTGTCAGCAGACAGGGTGTTTAATATTATTATTATGATGTGTATAACTGTAGCCTTAGCCATAATATGTTCTTATGTTTAATATCATGACATGTCACTAGAGGTCGTGTGAGAATGTTTTTAGCTACACACCACTTAACCAACAGACACACACATGCACATTGATTTGCTTCATGTTTTGACTACTGCTATGTCCAGCTGTAAAGCTGGTAACAGAGACGTCTCGGTTGACGTTTCTGTGTAGTATGGGGCTAGCCCAACCGAGGGGATATAATGTATAGGCCTGGTGGGTTCAGGGTCTTTCATCTTACATCTGCCTGGGAGCAGTTTGGAGGTGCAAGATACCTGAGCGTGTAATGTTAATTTTACCTGTGATCCTTTGAATAAATCAGCACTGTTTTGTAGTTACTTGGACTGTCTCGTCTCTCAGAGTTAGCAATGGTAAGAAGAACCAAAGTCTAACAAGTAGCAATATGACCTTACTAGTGTGTCCCCTCCTGTGATAAATACATTCTATGGTACGAAATACTCCTATTTTAATTACGTAAAGATTTAACGCACTCTCGCTTTGTCTTAAATATTGGATGACAGACAGAAACATAATCAAGGATTTAACAAGACCATAATTCAGTCACAACTAAACTAGTTACAATTTTTCACTTAAAAATACCAATAGTAACAATACATTAATATTTTAACTGTAAACAATTATAGGCGATAATCTTAGAAATGTGGGGTTAAGCCTGCTGTATTTCGTACTCTCAGTAAAACTGTCTTTATAAACATCCTGAAAATCTAAGTGAACTAGCTGACTGTTATTAGCATATCATTCACCAACACCAACCTTGTACAATCAACGTACCCGTTTCTTTTTGCTTTATCGGTGATTTTGTAGAAGAATTATCCTCCTCATCTTCGCTTGATGAAGATGATACGTCTCTTGGCATTATTAAGTTTTAAAAATAATGTCAAAGGTTGGAATTTAAGTTTTCTACCACAAAACGCATTGCTAAGGGGTCGCACATGTGTTGATGCTAACTGACTGTGACCTCTCGATGTTTCACCTCCGTGCCAGGTTTGGCTGTAGTTCTATAGCCAAGCTTGATGAGTAGATTTGCATTGACAAATCAGGTAAGGAAACTCAAACACCCATAATGCCTTTCGCAAGATTACGTAACGTTCTAGCGTTCGTTGTGGAAGCAGTTGACAGCAAAGAGGAGCAGGCCGAAGTGGGTAAACAAAACAAACATATGAAAAAAGGAGCTAAAACGACCTAAGTATTTGATCTAATTTTATATCGATACAATATGTAACATTGTTCTAAATCGATCTGAAACCAGTTAAAGTAGAAAGTTGTTAGCTAAAAGAGGGCGTACACCTGTCAAAGCTAAATAGGTTAACGCAGCTAACGTGTACTAGCACGTTAGCAAACTAGCTAACTCGTTGAACCCGCTCAGTTTTGCTAGAAGCCATGTCGTCCCCCTCCTCCGCCAGGCGCCAGTGGTGCTACCTGTGCGACCTGCCAAAGATGCCCTGGACTGTGGTGTGGGACTTTAGTGAGGTGGTTTGCCGTGGCTGTGTAAACTACGAGGGAGCTAATCAGATTGAATTCCTGATCGCGAGCGCCCGACAACTGAAACGAACCCACGGCATGCAGGACGGCAACGTCAGGTCACCTGGTCCCTCGCCAAATAAACACGGCACATCTGGCAGAGGAGAAGCGGCGACAGACGGGGGCAGAACACACTCCGATCGCTTCGACAGGGGAGGAAGAGGAGAAAGTACCAGCTCTGCTGTTCGTGTGCCGCCCAACGGGCTGCACCGTGACGCCCAGCCGTCACAAGAAGTGAACAGTGAGAGCCCCAGCAGCAGCCGGAGACCCATGCTAAGCGCTGCCATACCCCCTAGCCTAGTAACTCAGAGTATTGCAGGAATTCCCCATGGGCTACTTGCCGGCATGCCGGCGGGTCTGACAGCCAGGACAGCCCCCATGAGCAGTCCCATGATCTTCCCTGCACCGGTGCTGGCCGAGATGAGCCGCAGGCAGCTGGGCATAGGGATGGGGATAGCCCCTTTTATCACTCCAGAGCTGGAGCGAGAGCTCAGTTCATCCCAGAACCAGCCCAAGACACAGACGCAGGTTCACACTGCTGTGGCTGGCACCAGCGCCGGCAAAAGTACAGGCCTCCCTTCTTCGTCTTCCTCCATAGCTGGAGGTGTGAGCCAGACCAGCCCCAAGCCTGCCTCATCTCCAGCCAGGCAGCCACGCCCCCTGGCTGCAAGGTCAGGAGGGGAGCCCCTGGGATCCAGCACCTCAGCAGAGGCGGCCACCACAGCTGCAGCGTTACCCCACAGTGGTGCCTCTGAGCTGGCATCAGCATCCGCCAGCAGCACCCTTTCAACCGGAAACACACTGTCCTGCACTTTGTGTCATGAGAGGCTGGAAGACACACACTTTGTTCAGTGTCCATCAGTGCCAGGGCACAGGTTTGTGTGTATACTGGTTTTTTTGTCTTGTTAACTTGGCATTGTATAGTGAATAGCCTGAAACAACTTCTGGATTCATCTTTCCATGAATAAAATACTGCGTTCTGGGGGGGCTTTCAGTCTAAACAAGTAAGCAATATAAGGTCACCCTTCAGGCTCTGGTCATTTATAAGTTTTTACATTTTACAGACTACAGAAATAATTAGATACTTGAACAAATAATAGGTTATTAGTGAAGCAGCCATTAATTATTGGTGCCCCTGATCATTATATCCCTGCAAATGTTTAATAATGTGTTCTCTCCTCCATCAAATATAGGTTCTGCTTCCCGTGCACCAGAGTGTACATCCAGAGCCGGCGGGGTGATGGGGAGGTGTACTGCCCCAGCGGAGAACGCTGTCCATTGGATAACTCCCCCAACAGTCCCCCGTGGGCCTTCATGCAGGGAGAGGTATCGACCATACTGGGCACTGCTGGAGCGGGAGCTCCATCAGCTGCTGGATCTGGAGGTGGGACAGGGCCTGGAGCTGTGGCAGCATCCGGGACCGGGAGTGGAGCTGCCAGTGGAGCCGCAGCTGGGAGTGGAGATGTCACCGTCAAGAAAGAGAGGGAGACGTGATAATGATTTCCATGGAAACCAGGACCCAACACAGCAACAGGCAGGTCCACAGACATCTGACCACCTATAGTCTGAGGTCTGGCAGCATTTTACACTGGAGGATTGTTTTATTAGAAAGCACCTTAGGTTATTCCATCCTCAAGTGAAACATTTGCCAGACTACTATGACAGCAACAGGTTCTTGGTTTGTGAAAACTTGTTTGTTAAATATGTTATTTAAATTTCATTTGAATAGGCATTTTTGTTATCAATAATTTTGTCTTGACTTATTGATTCGCCAAATTTTTTTATCATCCAGGCTCTTCAGGATATTGGAAAGAAATTGATAAATATTAGGGAACTGGATGAAATGTTTGTTCCTACTGTGTTTATGTTGAGCTAGATTAGCCTAATCCAACCACGCAGGTTTGATATGATGGGATATTACTCTGTGTAATTTAATTATTTTAATTCAACCCCAGAGTCGTATCACATACCAGAAGAGGCATCTGCACTGGACCGATGGATTTAGAAGAGAAGCAACACAGTGACCCCACAGTTCAAAACAACCTCCCTTACACAGGTTTAAGTCCACCTGCTCAGAACACCCAAGATTAATCAGCACTCAGACCTGAAGTCCCACAGATTGCCTTCACAAATTGTCATTTACCTTTTTTTCTAAACAAGTTTTAACCTAAACCCTGTAGTTCTGATGCAACAAGAATGTGAAATCAGATTTCACTGACTGATCACTTTAAACCTCCTACTGCATCCTGTGCAATGTAAGCGCATCCTCACCAGCTATAGAAAACAGACTGATGTAAAATACTTAATCCAGTAAACAGCAGAGATCTGGGTGAAATAGCACCATAACAGCAACTGATGTAACCGTGTACATACAGTTAGATGACAAATTAAAGGAAAAGCCAACATAATGTGTCTAAACTGATTTGAACTCTACTGGAGGGACGATCACAATCCTTCCAAAAGATATTGGTGTATTGATAATGGTCGCTTCAACATTACGATTTTGGCTTCCAACGAATATGAAAACAAAATAATTGATATAAAATAAGTACTGTGCAGCACTGTGCTTCACAGTGATGCTCTCGGTTGTCTCGTGGTATAAATCCAGCGCACCCAGTGCGAGGAGATTTTGCTCACATCTGGTGAAGTGAAACGTTACTATGGTGATAACACCTAAACTCATTACTGTATATGCAATAAAACCTCCTCAGTAAAAATAAGAGTAATCTGTCAAAACCCCCACTAAACAAGCATATACTTGCAGAGAAGCAATCATTTCAGCTTTGCTTGCAGTCCGTCATGCATTGCCAGATTGTGTTAAGTGTAGCAAGATTGTTATGAGCAAGCTAAAATGAAAGATGACTGTATGTAGCCTCACTGTTAAATGAGAGGGAGAGAGATTGATGTGGGTTTCGTAGTGAAGCCAGCACACGGAGGGACTTTTTAGGTTGACAGGCAGTATTGTTAAACTGAAGTAACAAAACATTCTTTGTAAAATAAATGTAGGTAAAATAATTTTGTCAATTACAATTAAGTAGATGAAATACTTAATCTGTTATTCAGCTGAATCATAAAGATAAAAAAACACTGTTAAAAGACAAGTTTTTTTTTTTTTTTTTAAGTTCAATAAATGCATGATGTTGCCAAAATCAATGAGAAATAGTGTTTAGGATTTTTGCCATAATTGTGCACCCTTACACGGGTGATCTGGTGAAGGCCAAAGCATACAATTTCCATCATGCTCATTCTCATCAAACCCCTCAGTGCCCTATGGATGGGGGCGCTGTCGTCCTGGAAGACACCGCTCATTTATTCAGGCTTCTCCTTTCGTTTGCCACTCATCTGTAGATGTACTGTTGGAATCAGTTACTCAGGGCCAATCAGCAGCGGCTACTTTGTTGTAGTAGTTGTGCCAGTTCCTGTCGGCAGTAGCTCTAGCAGCAGAAAATAAAGTAAATGCAACAAGACTGGCTCACTTTGCTACAAACAAAAACTTGCCCCACCAGTTATGTGGAAGATACTGTAGTCGCATGAATCTTCAGGTTATACATTAAGAAACAACCAGTGCTAACAGGACTGTAAGACCACGGAAATGTCTCCATTCCTTTTTTTTGGCCACTAGTATACTGATAAAGAATTGGCATTGGTGCGATTTGCCAAAGGTAGCTTGTATAGCTGCTCGTAGTATCTTGTTAGCAGACCTAATATAGCAATGATTATTGTTTTGAGTTACCCTTCTCAGATTCGAACACAGTAGTAATGCTCCAGTGTTTATTGTAACTGTACACTCAGCATTGTGTTTCCACAAAAAGCACAAAGGCTTGTATGACCTTTCCAACTCAAGCATGCTACAACAGTAGCCATAGCTGTAATGATGAACAAAGTGTTGGCCGGCAGGGGGGTCGGACCTCTGACTGGTGAAGTGAAACACAGGCTGCTCCGAGGCGAAACGAGGTGGAGCTTAACAGTCTCAGACAAAAGGCCATTTTCTCTGCCAGCGTTTGGGCTAAATGAAATATTTGTGCTTCTACAAATACAATTTACATTAACTGATGTGACACGAACAGTTATGACAAAGTGAACGTGTCCTGGTGCACAAATGAAAGGAAAACAAATCTCCCACTAAGACACCTCCACATGCAGACATGAGATGTGGACAAAATGCCAGTAGCAACATTAATGTGTTTTTTTTTCGTCAGCTTTAAATGAAGCCGAATGACTCAGAGAAAGGAGAACAGTTGCTGTATACAAGCAAGCAGTTAATCTGTCGAAGCCTCAGACAGCCACATAATGTTTGACTGTATTCATACAAGATCCAGCCCAGCCTACGCTTTATCCTGAATGTATATTAAAAATATATCTATTGATAGGCCTAGCGCTATATTTTATACTAGAATGTTAAATGTTATATACTGTATAGATCTATGATAGTATGTATGTGCAATCCTTAGTCATATGCAACAGTTTGGAATATTAAACAATTAGTTATTGTTAAACCTTTTATTTTCCACCAGTGAGAATCCATCTAAGAGCAGAACTGTTCTTCTGTAGTCCAGATTTAGGAACGGGTTTCTCCCAAAACTGGAGACGGCGACAGCTTCCTCTCATGTGACATGACTTTGGAACTACTACGGAAGCTGTCACAGTATTCAGATTTTCAGTTGTGAAATTATCGGCACTGCAGTTGATTTTGCTTTCCATTCATGGTCAGTGGAACAACGTGGCGAACCACATGTACTGTACATCTAACCCCGTTTATCTGATAGTTACATATCAGGGATTTAACGAACAGCCAACGCTCTAATAACTATACATTTAAACTGACCTGTTTTTTTTGGTGGATTCTCTCTTTATGTGCAGTTTGTACTTGTCAGTACAGAAGCACAGACAAACCAAAGGTATAATTTTATGCCCATGCTGATGTTTTTGGATGTAAATGTTTTATGGAGAAATATCTGTATTGCTATATTTCTTAGCTAGGTCTTAACTGGTTTTTTTCATCAAGCCAGTTTACTGGCCTTTGTGGTCTACTGTACTTATGGGATTTTACATATTAAAGTCTATAATATTCAGCAGATATGTATGTAGGCCTTCGGTATTGAGAGAATATCCCATAGATCAGGTCTGTTATAAAGAAATGTCTTTGAAGAAGTGGAATTTAAGTTTAATATGCACTGATACATCATGCAATCCCTGTTAAGTGCCTTTTTAAAATGTCTGTTTGGGAACCTCAGGGGAAGTAGGACTGCAGTGGGGTTTTTTTTATTGTCTAATCCTATCGCCATCACACAGCTTCTGCTTTTATTTGAAGCCTTTGTAAAGTTGGCTGCCATTGATTGTTGGTAGGTCTCTTTTCGCACCTACAGTATGTCGCAATTACTTTCATTTGTCTTTTTTTTTTAGATTTCTTGGTTTTATTGCAGCTTCATGTACAAAATAGAAACCAGGAATAAATGGGATGGAAACTTTTACTTGTCTGTTTTTAATTTTACCACTGAGATTTAATGTAAAATATGAGAAATTCATACCCTGCTGTTAAAGTCTCTGAATGTTGTTCAGTTAATCCAGTGAAACTTGAAGTTAGCCAGCTAGAATTCTTATTTACCCTTCAACATAATCCTTCAAACTGAAGTGGTTTTGTAATCTTGCTTTATGACCCAGGATAATGAGTTGGTCCAAGTGGCCAGGCCCGGCCCTAACCAATCTGGCGCCCTAGGCAAGATTTCAGGTGGCGCCCTGTTGCATCGCAGTAAATTCCACTGCTAGTGTATATACTCATAAGAAACGTAATAGCTTTGTCTTGGACATTCTTTTATTTAAATAAAGCAATTACACATTCAAAATACTTAGAAAGAATTAAAGAAACAAATACAAAAAATGAACTGAACATATGAAATACAATATAAATAGCTTACATAAAGTACCTATTAATACTCCCAAAATAAAAAGTGTAAACAAGTGACATTAACTTAAAAATACAATATAAATACGGCACTGTGCAAAA